AWMCCATCAAAACAATAATGTGAGAGACCCACTCGTTTTTAAGTAAAAAATTCTTTCCGTTTATGCTAATAACCAAATAGCCGGGGCCATTGATCGCATGGTTGAAAGTAAGCTACAGATGCATAATATGGCCCGGCGCGATATTGCATAACGCAAATGGTGTGATGGTGTAAAATCAAATACATGTGACGTGTTGTTGCTTCTGTTCGAGTATGTCTTAGCTCTTGTTGATATCAAGATTCATTTTACGTGCCATAAAGGTCGGTATTTGGTTTGGTGGTTCTGTTACTCATTGGATTCGTCTTTCCTCAGGTGGAGTTATGGAATCGTCTTGTATGAAATTTTCACTTTAGGTGAGAAGGCTCACAGAAAAAAAAAAATCAGCTTGTAATATAATACGGTTCAGTATTTGGGAAGTGACAAACAGATATTGGGAAATTATCAAGGGCGTTTCATGTAAGATCCCCCTTTTCATCTTTATGGATAAGCAGCAGCTGTTGCCTCTATTTAGAATCCTCAATCGATTTGTTTCATAGGTAAAAATAGACGGTGAAAGACTACATGTGGCTACTGGTATAGCACAATTTTTGTAGCATTTAAAAGAACTAGAGGTTGTATAATGACGTCAGAAGGTAGTGTCGCAGAATATTTGTCTCACATGCAAAACAGAATAACAGTCGCATGCCACATATCAATGAGTACCCTGTTCCACAGGAGAAAGATAATTCAGGAATATATTTTCCAATTGACATTTAACCAATTATTAATTGGTAACAAAACGTTATCATAACTTTGTCTTTCTAGTTCTGGCATGAAAGCAATATCATTTTTATTAGAAACCAGATTGGTCTTGCAATACTGATTGCTTGTTTGTGCTTTCGTTTAGGTGGCGAGCCCTATCCGGGAATTCAGGCACGTGACATCGCAAGATTACTAGAGAAAGGATTTAGAATGCGGCGCCCAAAACAACTGGATAAGGAACTGTAAGTACAAACATAATCCATATTCACTGTATGACTTGAAAAGTGTTACTTTCCTAGATTGTTCAGGTTTTATTTTCCTTCTTGTCGGTTGATTTTGAAAAGCCTATAATGCATTGAAAATGGTACAAGGGGATCGTGAATTTTAGACTATTGATAAAGGAGAGGTTAAGAGACCGTTTGATAACATAACCAAAGTAAAGCGCGTGATGTGATTGGCCAGTTCAGTGTCCACCATTTGCTCATAGGTGTACGCTGCTAAAGTGAGCAAATGCAAAGACTAGTTTCCGCAGGCTTGTTTTTCCTGGTCACGTTAGATTTCATAATGAACAGGAGGGACCTCTTTTGTATCAATGTTATGTTATAAAACAAATGGTAAAACACCACAGCGTGCACTATTGAGTTATGGATGCAATGGGGAGGTTTGTTAAGCACCCAAGAAGCTAGAGTCGCTCTCGGCTATCGCCTCGCGCTACTCTTACGCTTTTTTCGTGCTTAGAAACCTTCTGCTTACATCCATAACTCAATAATTTACGGTGTGGTGTTTACCATTTGTTAAAAAGGTACCATGAGAAACTCCTTGGAATTTGCCGAACTGTTCCCTGTATTTCCTTGAAAAATCTTCTTTTTTACGCCACCGAAATATGGGAGCCTGCAAGCATGTACTGAAAGCATGAGTGGAATTCTTATTTGTTGTGTGCTACACTTAAGAAAGTTGCAGTTGCTTAGGAATTCTAGAACCAATAACATGGTATTCATTCATGTAATACTTAAATACAGACCTTTGACGTTTTCGTGTTTTAGAAGTTCAGTCATGTTTTCTTGTTGGAACGAAGATCCTAAAAAGCGACCAACATTTGGGATTTTGCAGGAGGCCTTGGAGAAAATTGAAAAGGAACAAACGGTATATTGAATAAAATTTTGCTGTAAACAAAACTAGATCTTCCACTCATGATAAATGTAATAATTCAGGCGCGAAAATTGCGTTGTCAGAGAAAGACCGTAAACTTCAGTTGGCAGTGAATAATTCAGTAACAGTATGGTGGAGAATATTAGGAAAAGATAGAATGGGAAAGGATGATAAACCTACTACAGTAACTTTAACTTTTTAACACAAGAAGGTTCAAAAGATGTCACTTACCTTCCAAAATATTCCAACTGTTCTACTTAGCTATCGGTACTAAGATAAATTACGAATTTGGCGGATTTGTGTTAGAGTTTGGATTGGCAACAAAACGTATCACTATCCTACCAACATGACTTTTGCACAGACGCACGACTCTCACAATCAAAGATCGTTACGATCATCCATAGAGATATTACTCTCTACTTTTCCATTGCCTTTCCAATTTTATCCTCTCTGAAAAAAAAACCGTGCTGTTTATTTTCATTACAGGGTTATATGAACCTTCAGTCCTTTGCTGACTTCTCGTATGTCAATATTTGCGATGCAAGAAAAGTCAAAGAAGAGTCCATTCTGTAAAGGCTGTCAAATGAAATACATCTGGATGCAATGGCCTGTTTTCAGATTTTACTGTCATTCCAGGAAGACTCCATCATTTAGAGCTCTCTGGTGCACATTGTAAGGATCAGTAAAGTAGAAGGAGTGACATCTGGTCAGCTGGGTAGAAACAGAGCTGGTTAATTTTGAACCAGAACCGAGTTTTTCAGTCAACAAAAAAATTCCTTAATCTTAAATACCAGCGTCTAACAGTGCTTGGAAGAGGGGTCAAATGATGCAATATTTGACAACAAAATACATTTTTGTTTCATTCTTTAGGTTGTTCATCGTGATTTAGCTGCCCGCAATGTTCTGGTTGCAAATGGTAATGTTTGCAAAATCACAGATTTTGGAATGGCCAGAGATGTGCAAGGGAGTGACATTTACACGATGAGAGCAGGGGTAATCGATAAAAATCCAATCGGTTGATTCTAGTGCGATGACAGTACGAACGAGTGTATAAGTGTCCTATCATCTCGCACGTTGGCCTTAGTGC